ACAGACCGCTTGGTTCAAACAACCTGCTGGGACTCCGCAACCGAAACCTTAATTTGTGAGATCTTAAAACAATCCTGTAGAGGATTTCATGCGAGGACAAGGGTTTTGACTGTATCTCCTTCTGAAAACAAGGCTACAGTTGAGCTTCTATTTTTTTCAGGAATTGCTTGCAACACCTCTCTACAATTGCTCGACCACTTGTGCAACGAGAAATCACCTTCACCTAATAACCTGACAATCTCCCCTTGTATCCCAACAAGTCGTCCGAAGTGTTCGCTCCTGTGATAATGTAATTTTGGTCCAGTGTGTAAGATGTTATCCAGCGAGATACCTATAGATGACTTTGCTGAAGCATCAAACACAACTCGTATTTTACTGAAATTTCCATCTTTCACCACTGGATGGCGAGGCAGAAAATAATAATCACTCCCGACAGCTTCTTCCGGAGTTAACACAATTTGCCCAGCATGCCCTAAATCAATATACTCTGTTACAAATTAGGAGTATGCTTCAAACAAGCTGACATCCCTAGCAAATCGCCTCTCTAAATTCAAGAATCTATGTTTTGCAGTAAAAAATGATGATCCAAGCTTTTCGACCTGGTCCTCTACAAACGACAAGGCCACCTCAAATTGGCCATATTCAAGGCGTGTAACATTGGCCATAAAATGATCTTCACACTGCTTATCTGAACCCGTCATAGCATTGTTCGAAGAAGTTTCTTCTAACTGCCAATACTTCGTCGAACTATTGTGAAGATCCTCATTAGAAATAAGACCAACGTGTACATTACCTTGAAGTTCTGCCTTAAAGACACCAGAAATCAACCATCCGAAAGAGCTTTTCCTTGAAATAGGAAGATGATTTCCTAGCCTAATACATCCTTGCTGCAAAACATCAAAATATATTTCGACTCCTATCAGCATATCCACGTTGCCAGGCACATTGAATGACGGATCTGCCAACGAGACATTGTCAGGAATCTTCCGGCCTTCATAATCTATAAATACAGATGGTAATGCATGTAATTCTATCCACAACCACACAATTGATGTTTCTAGAGAACGCTCCTATCCTAGATTTGACAGTCAACTTTACTGCCTTATTGCACAAAAAGCTTTGGACTTGCAAAACGCTCAGTCTATGTACCTCTGAATCAGTGGAACATTTCAGTTTCGCCAAAAGAGAATTAGTTATTAAATTTATCTGAGACTCACTGTCTAAAAGTGCTCTCACCGTATGTTGTGCTCCCCCCGCGTCAATGACAGTAAGCGAAACAGTTGATAACAAGGTCTGTACACCTGTGTTGCTAGCCATACAAACCGTGCTACTTTGAGAAGTACTGGGCACAGGCTCAGGGTCCTCATGCAGCAAGGTATTGTGAGAGGCTTTGCATTTTCCACAGGTGTATCTGAATTTGCACTTGGCCACACTGTGTCGAGTTGCCAAACAACGGATACATATCCCATGTTTATTAATAAAGCTCTTTCTAGCTACTATATCTAATGTTTTAAAATTGGGACACTTATATAAGGCATGATTCTCCCTTTTACAAAGACTACATGACTGTGTAGGCCTCTTGACAATGGTATAAACACTCTTTGTTGACGCTGGTTTGCTGTCTGAACTACAAGAATGTTCCAAAAAAAAAGTAAAAAAATTCCACTAAAGATGGTAACTGTCCTGACGTTCTACACAGATTCCAGGCAACGTTCGTCCCTTTATCAAGTTTCCTACTCAGCATGAACAGCAAAATTACATCCCAATGTTCGGCAGGTTTATATAGGACCTTTAATGACTGTATCTGTTGTCTTGCACTATTTAGAAGGGTCATCAGATTTTCAAAACTTCCTTTATTAATAGCTTCTCATTAGTAATACTGATTGTGGAGATTAAGTTTGAAGCTGAATTTGTGAGTGCGCCTCTTGAAAAGTACAATTTTTGTACAGGTGCTAACTTGGAATTATTGTGAATTAAACTATTGAAAATATCTATAAAGGCTGTCCACATTCATTATATTCCCCATTGAATTTATGTAATATGATATCGGGCAATTTCACATCTATCGAAGTGTGAGCACCTTTCGCAATAGGTTTCTGATGTTGGTCAATTATTGTTTCTATTTCCGACATCATATGAAAATATAGCTCTGAGTGCTTAAGGTACTCTGCAGTATGCGTACCTGATGGGCTGATTGCTTCCAACTGTACATAATTTTCGTCCCAATCGTGACTTCTCTCAACTAGTTTTTGTTTACGCACCGATAACTTTTTAATGTTGTTGCCCTCACTAAAGCTACTGATATATTTATGAATTGCATCAAATGATGCTTTAATCATCCTTTGCGTACTCTCTAATGAAACTAAGTCTACCATTATGATTGCAAATATCAAGTAACCAAACAAATCAAGGCAAATATAAAGAGACTTTTGAAATAAGGTACTCTATAGCTGTGGTACAATTAAACAATATATAAGTAAGTAACAACAAATAACTATATGCAACAAGTAAACAAATAAATTTTGAATTATAAAAACTTATTGTTAAAAAAATGTTCTTTGTACATATGTAAACTTATAGATGTCAAAATAACACTCACGACTCGTGTATAGGCTATACACGACCAATTTCCTTCTCCTCTTCACGTGATAGTAGAAGTTAAACAGCAAATATCCTCTCCAACAAAGCCAAAAAACTGCTTGAGGGTGCTGAGTTTTACGTGGACATGGAACCGGCAATTAGAACAATCCTTGGGCAGCGACGTGTATCCTAACCTCAAATTAGGCACCTACAAATCTTCGAAAGTTGTTGATTAAAGCGTCCGAAAGCTAGCCCCAGGTAATTCAGATGCTTCTTCTTCTCTTTGATTATCGAACGACACAGAAACTTTCATGTGCCGCATGCGTAAACAAATTATAACCAAGTACACACCGCACTATTTTTACAGGCTTTAAATACCTCTCAGCCGTTACGATGGACCATTTATGGAATAAAGAAACGCTGGATGTATTATTTTAATATATATTTATTGCGATCTTTGTGCTTCGACGTTTTGATGAAGAAGAGAGTCAACAACACAATATACAATTCGCACATCGGAGCATATACATGTTGAAGGTGGCGCACACATGCTAGCAACCTATCAGCCATAACGCTCGTTGTTGACAGTTCACAACGAGCGCGCGAAACTTAAATTATAAATTTTAATGACAATTTTGTCCAGTTGGGATACATATAAATGTCTCAATTTATAATAATTTCAGACATTGATTGCGGTGTATCCTGGGTCCGCTGCCATGACTGTCACTTCACTATCCACAGCTTATATTCATTTACAGTAATAGACACTGGAGTATTATCTAGTAACTTTTGATAGTCGTTTGCTAGTTGTCTTACGCTTCAATGTCTTTATTGTTATATTCGGTTTTTGGCATGGAAACATTCAGCTTAAATAAATTAAGTATATCAGGAGACAAGTGATCCTGGAGATCGCTGATTATTGAATCTTCAGCAGACTGAGCAGGTTGATTATTGGCTCTATGTATCTGTTTTGATACTAATCTCGGACGTTTAATTTCTATTATAACTGACAGCTACTTCTGTAACGTCCAAATTTTCTCTTTTATCTCTTAGAACACTTAGTATCATTAAAAGCATCTGTACCTTTTTTGAAATCGGTTAAGCTTGATTGCAGAGTTCTGCTTAAATATACCGTAGTAGCTGAAAAAATAAAAGTAAATTACAGTGACAATAATAAATTATACACCCACCTAATACATCACTTAAGCAGATGGAGGATATAATAAAGTCAGAACTGCGTAATGTTTGTAGGAAGCAATGTGCATTATTGGCAGTTTTATTGTATTACCAAGCAGAAATCTTCTCCAGAGCATTACTAATTTAAATTAAGTTGTCTCCTTGGAACTTTCTATCTAGCGTGTTTCACAAATACCTTGCATGACAGCTCCAAGTTCTAACTTAAAAATTGCTTAGGAGATGCATTGGCAAATGCCACAACTATTCTCATTATGCCAGATGGATTGCGGCAGGAAACTAGATTTTGCTAATTCATTATTGAAAACATGATTGTTGCATGGGCAACGTTTAGCATGGATCACACTTTTCATTAACTTCTACACTGCACCTTTTGTATTTGGTACACTAGTTTTGGCCCACTTTACCCACACACCAAGATAAATCTAAATTGTATTTGGTACACTAGTTTTGAACAATTTTTGCTAATATTTTATCTGTCAATCTAGGCTCTATGTCACCTAAATTATTGTCTTCAGATTTAAGAGCATCATACCCAGACAGCACAAGACATGCCAGGGAATGTCCCACTTGTCCTCACAATCTCCTAATATCGCGATATCCTATGAATATCTTATGAATATGCAACGGGACGTCTCAAAACCAAAGGACTTGAGCAGGTATAACGAACGGTTCACGAACATGTCGCTCTCCTACGCGCACGGCTTGAGACCTCTAAACGTATATGTTTGTCCCTTTCTCTTTCGTCGCGTCGGTTTTGCGTCCTTTAAGGTTAAGCTAAGCGTCATCGTCATCAAACAGACGCTTATATGTCGAATTATCATAGTTTTTGAGTAATTGAGTAATAATAGTGAACATTTTATTTGTTTTATATAATTATGTGAGCGTGTGTTATAAATAATTAATATTATTTATCAAAATACTCTAAAATTGAGTAATAATAGTGGAAATTTTATGCGTTCTATATAATTATATGTGCGTGTGTGTTATAAATATTGCAGCAACATATTGAAAGGGGAGCAGATATAAACGATGGTAATTAAAGCTTTCTGTGTACTGTTATTTGAAATACTATGTTACTAGTACAAATAGAATTTTTAATTTAATGCTGACATTTCTACCCTGCCAGCTTATCCAGCAACCATGCCTAATTTTGTATCAAATGCTGTGTTTGAAAGAGAATTGACAAAGAAGAAATGCTCTCCACTATGTTTGTTGGAGGAGCTTCAACTTATGGAGGCTATTCTTCTGAGCAAAGATATCAAAATACAATTGGTAATCAAAAGTTTATATAGATTTATTTTTATTTGTTAACTTTATCATATACTAAACAAACTTTCTCTTTAGATTCTGTATTTAGCCATCAGAGTCCAGCTATGAAAATCCATTTTTGATGATGGTTTGGACAAAGAATTTTGCTAGGGACGAGGAAAGGGCAAAAATAAATTTTGTGATCTAGTGCCTTGCGATGTCATCACAGGTAATTTATATATCTTATACTTATGATGTGTTGTAAATTATGAATTAAACTAATATATAATTAATTCCAGGAATTGCTTTGAAAAATTTGCCGCATGAGACATAGTTTACTGTTTCAGAGGCTGCAAAAAGCTGGCTGCGACGTGCCAATAAATATTATACAAGGTATTTTTGTGAGATGTGTACTATATGTTTTTCCTATTTACAAAAAAATCATGATTATTGACTGGTTAGTTGTATCAATGCAAAATTTGTGCTGTGTACACATTTTTAGATGTAAAAAACCAAGTTTAATATTCACTCGTAATGACATCAAATTGTGTCAATATATTTGGAATTAGAGATTATTTTATAAATCTCTGTCTATTTTGATTGATGTATCGCTCTTAAAGAACTTACTCATATATATATACATATATATGCATTTATTCATTTGTTTTCTATTTCAGGAGAGAAAATCAACCATGAACTAGGATTGAATGCCGAATTAATTATATTTTTAATATTGTAAAATAACTTATTTTGAATTAAAGTTGTATATATTAAATTTTGTTATAAAATTATCTCAGGATTTTGTTATTTTGTAATAAAAGTTTACTTTGTGAAATTGTGTTCTTTTATTTTATTTTAATCCAAATTTATTTTTCATCTAAAAAGTAAAAAACAATTCCATAATTATATCCTATTCATGTCCGGTTTATGTCCGGAATATCCCCCGCGGGATATCCTACAGAACGTCCCTAGGTGCGACATATTAACATGTTTCGGATAAGATCAGGATAAGCGGGATATCCGTAAGGCTATCGCAGGGACAATGAATGTCCGCGCGTGGATATCCTGTGGACGTTTTCCAGGATGTCTTGTGTTGTCTGGGTATGTATCGCAAAAAGTCACAAAATGATCCTTAATAATGCCATTATGAAATAATGTAATGAGAGGTTCAGCTGTGAGATATGTGATATATCCGTGGTTTCGTCAAACAAAATAGAAAGATATCTGGCTTCCCGCACATTCTTAAGATAGTTTCCTATATAACTTCTGCACACACATCTATTAGCTTATTTTGCACAGTTTGCTGATGTATGTGACGTTGGCACTTGAAGATTTTAAGTGATGCTGCGATTCAATATCACCATATTCAACACGGAACTTTGAAAGAGCCATAAAATTTTATCATTCTGAACATACATAATAAATATAATAGCATAAAATAGACAATAAAAATCAGTTTTTAATTATTTTTACCTATTTTATTAGTTTTTTGTTATATTTTTCTGATCTATGGATTTGTTTGAGTGAATCATTTACATTTTTGAAGAAGTCTGTACAATTTTCTTCATAATTTACTTTTGTAAACGATATGGCTGTTAATGTATTTATTTCTAGTCGAGTCTCTTCACTTGTCACAAAGTTATTCATCAAAAAAATATTCTTTCTGTAGAAGCATTTGTACCATGTCGACAGAAAAAGAACTCAGACAATTTTCGTAAATTTGATATAGAAAGTTCACGATTATTAATATGAGACATCATTTCGATTGACATTTGAATTGACGCAGTGATATTATTTTTTCATTCAGAAATTTTCTCTTCCATAATGTATAATTTTCTGTATAAAGCCGATTGACGTATAAATAATAAATACATTAATAAATAAATGAATAAATAATATATAATTTCATATAATCATCCTCAATTTCAATCCAAGTTGGTGTTTTTGTTTAATGTCACCCAGCTATATAAATCCATGTCCTGAAAAACTTATTTTTGCCTAATCTAAATAGCTATGTGCAGTATGATAAAATTGAAACTGCGTCGTCTCGGAATTGAGTACACTGCTTTGCAGATTTTTTGAAATAAAACTTCTTTAGGCGCGATATGGGTGTAAAAATTTCTTT